AAAATTTGATTCGGAAAGAAGTTCATTTCATGTGCCAAGAAGTACCATACAGTCATGTGTTTGTGTGTGCATATTGCCTGCAACAAGAAAAAGAGGTCAAAGAAAAGACCTTACTGTTCCACCAGCCCACACAACACCCTTCACATTTCATGCGGCATCCGGCCCGTTTTTCCAATCATCGTTTCGTGCAGTCCGTGGGACGCACAGCCGCGGAGCCGGCACCGCGTGTGGGCAAAAACAAACAAAGGGGGGAAACACGTCACTCATGACGGTGTGCAGCAGACACCCATTAAGTAAGGAAGACAGTGAGAATGCGCGGCTGGACGGCAATACGTTCACCACAGCTCCCCACCCTCCATCACCGCACGGTGGTAGAACACACCCGTCCACAGAAAAAAAAAGCAAAAAAAAAACACGGCGGCAGGGTGCGGCTGTGTGTGTGGCGCTGCAGGTGTCTGCCAGCCCTGGCCGCAAAAAAAACAAAACAAGAGGGAAAGAAATGTGTGCTCCGCCCCACCAGCCCTCGTCGCACGCCCACACGTCACGGCTCCCTCAGCGCGCCGTTCGTCGCGGCCCCTCCTCATGCGTGCAGCAGGCGAGGCGCACAGGGCCGTCGTCATGAGCGTGTCGGTGGGTGTGCGAGTGGAGCCGTTGGGCGGGAAACACACGGCACCCCTCACAGGAAGAGTGCAGAAGAAACAATTAAAAGAGGGAAGAGTAGAAAAAAAAAAAAAACTTCCATAGTGATTGCCCCCAAAAGCAAAAAAGAAGGGATGTGGGGAGTAAGAGAATTAAAACGCACAAATTAATAACAAAAAAAGACTAGCAAAATTTTTAAAGCAAACAGTAAAAAAAATTAAATTTACAAAAAACAACAAAAAAAGCCGAAGCGTGGGACGACCAGCGCACACACTCTCATTGCTCCCGTAAAGCAAAACACACACACAGGGAGAGAGAGAGAGAGAGGTCGCCCACTCAATGCAATGGAAACAAAACAGAAACAGTTACGGTGCTCCGCCCATGCAGCCAGGCAGGACGGCAGCGGTGCGTGTCGTGCAAAAGAGAGCACCAACGGGCCTGCATGGGTGTGCATGCAATATATACAATGGGCACATTATGTGTGTGCTGCGTGGGATGAGGTGAGGACGAGAGTCCATGCAAGGGGACACACACAGAGAGAGAGAGGGAAGGAAAAGTGTGTGTGCGGGCGGTGCACGGCTCTCTCTCCCTCACTCTCACGCAGCCACCACCGCAGCAGCAGCCGCACACACAACAACAAGAACAAGAGGCAAAAGAGGGGAGGTGGCGTGGGAGACCGCGGTGCTGCTGTCACTGTTGTTGGTTCCAACGGCGTTTTTATCTTTTTTGGGTACTTCGCCATCGTCTGTGGGATATCCATGCGGTTGTTCTTCCTGTTGTTGCTGCTGCTGTCCTTTTTCTCCGAATTGTTGAGGTTGTTGCGGTAGTTGTATTTGTTCTTGTTGTTTTTTCGTTTCATCTTCAGCATTCTCCTCACCAATTTCTTCATTTTCATCAGTAACGTCTTCTGTTTTTTCCGAAGATCTCACCGCAGATGTGCGAAGTCCTTCTGGTGGCGCTGCTGTTGCTGCTTCTGGTAGTTTTTCTTGTGGCCTTTCGTGTCTACCTCGTTGAATGGCCGCATCTTCCATTATGGAACCTTCCTTCTCTGCAGCTACCGCTGGTGAGTGATGTTCTTGCGGTGGTGGTGGGTGAACTTCCGTGCCGGTTTTAACATCCGTGTGGCTGCCCGTTGTCACGCCGCCCAGAGGCCCTGGACTGGCGTTGGGAGGTTCATTCACAACGTGTTTTGTCTCCTGAGCGTCACCCGAAGAAGCCGATGACAAGCCTGTCGGCTCATGAATTTCGGTTGGTTTACCGGGCTCAGGACCTGAATTCCCTTTACCTGCGCCTGGTTCTGGTACACCTTCGCTTAATTTCGACTTATCCTCCTCTCCTGGTGTGCTGTCTTCTGTTTGCTGATTTTTGGCGGAGTCATCGTTTTTCGACAAATTCTTTTGCGGACTTTCAAGATTTAATCCCACACTGTCGGGAGAAGGATTGTGCTCCGTAGATAAAGGTGTGTGGAGTGTTTGCTGATTACTGTTCCGTGTAATTCCTTTTGTAGCAACTGAGCGACCTGCAGCTTCTTCTCCTTGACTCTGATGTTCTTTAACTGTTTCTTTTCCTCCTTTTCCTTCTTCTATTATTATTTCTTCTGCTTCTTCTTTACTACCTTCTTCTGGTTCATCATCATCATCATCATCATCTTCTTCTTCTTCTTTGTCTTCTTCTTCTGACGAAGAGTCCGCTGCGCGTTTATTTGGCGCTTTTTCTTCAACCCGCAATACACCTGTTTGCTCGCTTGGCATTAGTGTTGCTGTCGCTCCATTTTCTTTTACCAACAAAACATTACCACCACCGCGAGCGCCACCGTCAACAACTTTTACCTGCTCTTCACATATACCGCCGGCACCGCACCACAGCACGCAGAGGGCACACACCAGCAGCACACGGCCAGTCATCATCATCGCCATAACTCCCGTCACTTGCGTGTAGCCTTCAGCACAAACTAACAACACGTCAACGCAGAGTAAAAGCAAAAAGAAGAGACAAGTCACACAGCCACGCACCGTCCCATCCAGCAATGAGAGTCACGCAGAGTAATGAACGGCATTAACGCTGCGCACAAGCCATTGGACAAATGTAGCCAGTAAAAATCCAAAACTCGCAAAACACTTAAAAATGAAAAAAGAGATATTTAAAGAAACGAGCCCAGGGCTCCGCTGCGCATGCATAGGAGTGTGTCTGGGATGCGTTCAATGCGGCGGATGCGGGAACAACGCGGAGCACACAGCAGGGCAGCGGAAGCAAAGGAAGCAAAACACAATCATCATAATTGCTCTTACTTTATACATCGGACCACAGTAGACGTACACATGTCCCCGCCGTTGGGTGCTGGTACGCACAGCCCGCATACACCTCTTCAGCCCACAGTGTTGTACGCCAGCGCGGATACGGCAAGCAGCAGCGGGGCACACACCCACGCAGAGCTGCTGAGGCTGCCGTCGATTTCGCGAAGAGGTGACGGTGCGCTGGTGGTCGTCGTCGTTGGCGCCGCTGTAGTCGTAATACCTGTTGCCTGTGGCGCAGTGGTCGTCGTTGTAGTTGGCGCATTTGTCGTGGTAGTAGTGGTCGTCGTATTTGCGGCAGTGGTCTCGCTCTCTGATACCTTCCTTACAGCAGTCAAACTTGTTGACTGCTGCGCATCGGATGTATCTGTTACTTCTGGATTAAGGGATTTCTCTTTTCCTTCTTTTGCCGCCTCAGTGACCCCATCAAGTGCCTGCTCCTGAACATCCTTCGGACTTTCTGACTTTAGCGTATCAACCATCGGAACTAGTGGTCCTGAGTTACTAGGAAGCATCCCATTTGCATTATCTCCCGCACCGGACGCCGTTTTTCCTGACCGTAATTCATCAACATCCGTATCCGAATTATGTTCCCCACCGAGCTCATTTAGCACTTCTGAAACAGTAACATGTACATTAACTTCTTGTTCAGGTTTAACCTCGCTTGCTGTAGCTCGCGCGGAAGAGAAGTAAAACAGAGCAACCACCAACAGGGCGCACAGCAGACGGCACGTCATCATCATCGTGAGTGTGGTCGTTCAGTGGTGTGGAGCTGATCTGCACAGTGAGGGACATGGAGAGCAACAGGGGAGACGAGAGGTGCGGCAGACACACACAGAGGGCACACCACATGAGGAGAGGGCAGCAGCCAGGCATGCACCGTACGCCGCACACCACGCACGACAAACACTCCAATCCACGGCAGCAGGCACACACACACACAGCCCTGCCGCAACACCAACACACACAGATGGAAGAGGGAGAAGCAAACAGGAGCGGCACACAAGGCTCCACCGCATGTGCATACGGCGAGAGCGGTCCGTTTTGTCGGCACCCCTCACGGAGGGTACGCACACACACAAGAGGAGGTGCGGTGCACACAGCAACACAAAAGCAAAGTAACAATAAAAGAGGAGAGATCCCCGCACACCACGTGGATTGTTGGTCCACGGGAAGTGCAACCAACAATTCGGTTTGTGTTCTTCCTGCTTCTCGCCGTCAAAGTGTTGCAATAGATGTTTGTTTTTCCTTTCGTTGCTGTGACACCTGATTCCTCACCGTTTATTGCGGTGGAAATGTAAATATGTGGGTGGACTCCCACACACCAGGACGCACCTTCGCCCTTATTTATTGGTGCATGGAAGGGCATGTGTGTTTGGTGTTATCTCGTCCATATATTCTTCTGGGTGCACATTCCCCTGCAGGCTGAGGGCGGGACGACGCTCTGTCGCGGCGCACTTCCCTCGCTTGCCGCCCACTGTGATTCATCCTGCATCACCCTCTTTCACATATTCCGTAGTGCCACACCGCTGATATTATTGCAGCCGCTGTGATTCCGCGTATTTCACGCATTTGATTGTGCCACAATACATCCGCTCGTGTGGCTGCCGCATCCAAACAGCGGTGCCCAACACCGTGAGCGGCAGTCCACATCCTTGCATGTCCCAACGCAGTGGTGTTTGACTGTCAGCCAGGCGACACACAACAGGAGAGTCTTGTGCTGGCAGTACAACACACGGGGCTGCAGTGAATGACTCGGGCGGGGACGCATCTACTTGTCGCAAAGCAGTGAAAAGGAGTCGGGTAAAATAATGCCGGCTGCACTCACGACACCATATCCACAGCCAAAGCATGCGACGTGATGTGTGTTTCACTGGTGCTGTGAAATGCCTGCAGACGACGTCACTAGTGGAGGCACACCACCTATGATCGGCGGACAGACAATAATCAACATGGGAGGCCACAAGAGGCAGCAACGACGCCAGCAGCAGGAGCAGCTCTCTCTCCCTCTCTCTGTTGTCTCCGAGAAGTAAACATTCCACCAGCCACAGCTGACTGTGCCATCGTGACACTCCATGCACGTCGTGGCTGCGCCAACACATCCTGTTCCCTGCAGCGCCTCAAAAGATGCCTCACTCCGTCCACTAAGTGCATCGATGTGGGCCGTGCCTCGGCTGCTCGTGAGGACCACAACGATGTGAGGGTCACCGAGTCGTAGCATGTTTGTTGTGACGTTGTTGCGTGGCACCTGCACACACACACACGCAGCGCCTGCATCCTCCCTTTTGTGTCCGCCCTCTGCCGGAGTGGCCACACACACGGGCAGCAGCAAAATCACTTCACCCTCGACGACACAAAATCAACACTGACATCCCTCGCGACGCAAAGATCTCAGTTGCCAGCACGGGCTTCCTGCCGCCCTGCCATCGACGCTGAAACACGGCACAGTGCACGCACTTATTTTCCCCGTGTGCAGTGAGCCGTTTGCTTCACACATTCTTCGGTGGGCTGACGCCCATAAAAGCACGCCACAAAAGGCCACTGTGATCGCACAAGCTCTTGCGATGAGCGTCGGTGTGTGCATGGACCCGCTGCTCACACGTGCCGGCAGGCAGCCTGCAGCCGGTGCCCTCGTGCCAGTTCATCGGCTCCATCACGGAAAAGAGAAAATGGCCTATTCCCGATGCACTTATTCCCACCAGCAGCACCAACACGCTGGTCGCCAGCCGTCATTCCTCAGCACATCCAGGAATGCCGAAAAGTGACGTGGAGCTGCCAGCCAGCAATGCCACAATCCCCGCACACATGTCGGCTCCACCAGAGAAGACACACAAATCACAAGCGACACCCCTCACATGTCATCCGAACATCATTCCGACACACCGCGACACGCCAAACAGAAGTATTCGTCACTCCATGCACCTCCTCACACAATCAAATATTCCACGCACCACGCACGGCAGCAGCTCACACGCAGTCAGACAAATGTTCCTCGGATCAGTGTTATCCACGTGCTGCGGTGGGAAGTAAACAAAAGAGACGGGCTGCCAAACCCCAAAAGAGTGCCACGACTGGCCGCAAGTCAATGGAACGCAGCCACTCAAATGAATTCAGTCCTAATGCCCTCAACCTCCCGCATTCTCCCACCAAAGCCCCAAGAGACGCAAATCAAAGGCATCGTCCAATAAATTCGCTGTGCAACACCAAGTGACGCCGTAGTGCCTCCTGCTGTCATCCGGGGCCGTTGTGGACGCCTTCACGAGGAAAGACACCCACCGGATATTCCAAACGGCGCTGTACACCTGCGACGCATCCGACGCTTTGGGACGCACGTGCCTCACTATCACCAGAGACGCCCACGCGACGTCGGACGCCCCACACAATCAAAGACGCAAGTATACGTCAGAGTAGCAGCAAAGCATCCGCTAGCAATCACACCGCAGGCATCATCGCAAACAGCACCAGCAGCGCTGCAGTCAACTGTGGGCTGCCATGGACCAACTGACGCATGGCGTATGTAGAAGAAAGAGCGTGGCGTCTTTAGAAGGATACGAGTAGCTGACACTTCCTTAACAGGATGAAAACAATACGGAAACAATAAGAAAAATTCAGGCGTCCACAGTCAAAGCAAACCGCCGATCACAAAAGCGGAATGGACGCACTCAACCACAACACAAGTAAAACAATGAAAAAAACAAAAACAAGAAGGAAAAAGTGTGGGACGAACAGCGCACACACTCTCATTGCTCCCGTAAAGCCCAACAGGGAGAGAGAGAGAGGTCGCCCACTCAATGCAATAAAAACAAAAAACAAAACAAAACAAAAGTTACGGTGCTGCGCCCATGCAGCCAGGCAGAACGGCAGCGGTGCGTGTCGTGCAAAAGAGGGCACCAACGGGCCTGCATGGGTGTGCATGCAATATATACAATGGGCACATTATGTGTGTGCCTCGTGGGGTGAGGTGAGGGCGAGAGTCCATGCAAGGGGACACACACAGAGAGTGAGTGAAAGACGAGTGTGTGTGCGGGCGGTGCACGGCTCTCTCACTCACTCTCACGCGGCCACCACCGCAGCAGCAGCCGCACACGCAACAAGAAGAAGAGGAGGCAAAAGAGGGGAGGTGGCGTGGGAGACCGCGGTGCTGCCGTCACTGTCGTCAGGCGCCGTGACACCTCTCATGACAACGCTTTCGACTGGTGTTTTCTTCGTAGTGCCGTCCTTCGCTTCACTTTCATTTCCTTTTTCTGTCCCGGCTACATCAAATTCCGGTGCACCTGCCGGAACCCTTCCTCCAGTGCCGTTGCCCAACTCATTATTTGCAGTATCGGTGGCTGCTAGGGTTGATTGTGACCCTTCTGTTGGATTTGCTGGTGAATCACCCCCTGGTATTCCCGGTGTTGATCCCATTTCTGCTGCACCGCCCTTCGATGTTTCTGGAGTTGGTGCTGCCACCGGTGTTTCCGCACCAGGCGACAGTTTGTCTTGCGGTGTTGAGGATTCTGCGGCCTCAACTGGATCGCCAGTGTACTTCTTGCAAATCTCCTCGGCTTCAGGGTCATCAGAATCAGTCGACGCCATATTATAATAAACTTCACAAATCTCCTTCATCGATTCATGCATACAGCTCTTAAACGCTGACTCATCCAAAATTCCTCCCTTCGTACTGTTTTCCTTGCATGTCTTATTAGTTTCAGGATACCAAAGTAAAACCATATTCTTTGCCGTATCACTTCTGTCACTAGTAAAACCACCGGCCGCCGACAACACCACCGAAGCACCGCACCACAGCACGCAGAGGGCACACACCAGCAGCACACGGCCAGCCATCATCATCGCCATCACTCCTGTCACTTGCGTGCAGCCTTCAGCACAAACTAACTCCCCGTCAACGCAGAGTGAAAGCAAAAGACACAACCACGCACCGTCCCATCCAGCAATGAGAGTCACACACCACCGCAACAGCAGCTCAAACACCATAAGACATATGGAATCAGTAAAAAAGGTAAAAAACAAAAAAAACGCACAACGCCCTGCAAACCAGCAATTAAAATAAAGCAAAACAAATGCTTAAAAACACACAAACGGTTCCAGCGCGCATGCATATGAGTGTGTCTGGACGCGTTCAACGCGGCGGATGTGGGGCACAACGCGGAGCACACAGCAGGGCAGCGGAAGCAAAGGAAGCAAAAACACAATCATCATAATTACTCTTACTTTATACATCGGACCACAGTAGACACACACATGTCCCCGCGGTTGAGTGCTGGCACGCACAGCCCACATACACATCTTCAGCCCACAGTGGTGTACGCCAGCGCGGATGCGGCAAGCAGCAGCGGGGCACACCCACGCAGAGCTGCTGAGGCTGCCGTCAATTTCGCGAAGACATGACGGTGCTCTGGTGGTAGTTGTAGTTGGCGCCTCTGTATTCATGGCCGTGTTAAGTGGTGCCTCTGGCGCGGTGGTTGTTGTGGTAGTCGTTGTACCTGGCGCAGGGGCATCGCTATCTGATACCTTCATTATAGCAGTCACACTTGTTGGATGCTGCGCATCGGCTTTACCTGTCAGTTCCAAATAAAGGGGCCTCTCTTTCGCTTTGTTTGCCGACTCAGTGACCCCATTAGGTGGCTGCTCCGGATTGGTTGTAATTTGTCCCACCGCCGTAACGGGCGCACCATCGTGTGTCTGTGGCGCACTGTGAGATTCTAGTCTCTGTTCCTTATCATTCGTCGGATTGGACGTC